AGTCCAGACTGAACAAACTAAAACCTTTTGAGTTTTTATAAAATCTGAAGCTGCCACAGGTTCTTCATGTTCTGAAGGAGAGGGGGAGGGGAGGGGTGTTCAGCTGCAACATGACACTTCACCACTAGATGTCACTAAACTCTACACACTGGACCTTTAAACAAACTGCTTCCGGATCATTTCTTATGTTTTGTGACGTTAACATGAACTAAAGTGAGTGATGCTGTTTGTTTTCAGTCGCCTGTGTCACTTCCTGTTTCTCAGATTAAAAACGTTTTATATTATATATATATATTATATATAACAATAAATACAACAAGACAGTTAAAGTGTTGTGTGTTGTGTTTCTGCATCACACTCATGTTGTCATCACGGAGTCACCACACGGAAACAAGGTAAAGTGTGATGTCATCTTATTCAAATACTTTTTCACGAGGCTGAAGTGACGTCACTAAACGAAAACTGCGTCAAAATCTTAACCTGCCGTTCATCGAGAAACGAATTAACTCAAATACAGCAGATTTTAAATATCACTTAAATCACCAGTAGTTTCAGTCTATTAAGGTCACTGTGACCTTTGACCTCCCAGATGGTCTGAATCTTCTCAGACGAGACACTGGCTGCTGATGGTCCAGACAGAAGAGTCTGAGTTCCTCTGAGTGCAGACTGCAGAGAGCATGTGAAGAGCTCTGTCTCCTGTGAGAAGGTCTCACACAGGTTCTTTAACACCAAGTTCAGAGGTGGTTCGTCCATTGAAGATCTTCTCTTACAAAGTGGACAGTCTTTTACTTCTTTGTCTGTCCACCAGCTCTTCACAGTCTGTACAGAAGCTGTGGCTACATGACAGAAGGACAGGATCTCTGAAGACATCATGGCAGACGGGACAGCAGAGATCCATTCACTCAGCCTCTCTATGCTGGAGTCGAGGTTTATCATCTTCAATCCACAGCTGAGTTCTGTAACTCAAACCGACTCGAGTCATTTAAAAGGGCCACACGTTGGTGGCCTGTCAGGCCACAAGGGGGCAGTGGGCTGACGTCCCTGTTCTTTTATCTTTCCTTCTTTTTCCTCTTCCTCGTGCATTTCATTATCTTTCATCAGTGCCTGTATCTGCTCCCTCGTCTGAACCACCCACTTCTCTTTCTACAGCACGCTGGCCCTCCCTCTCGTCACTTGTGTCTTTTGCTTCCACTTGCTCAAAGCAGACGCCTTCAGAGATGCTAACTGTTCTTGGCCATGCTAAGTGTTCTTGGCCCTGCTAACTGTTCCTGGCCATGCGAACTGTTCTTGGCCATGCGAACTGTTCCTGGCCATGTGAACTGTTCTTGGCCATGCTAAC